GATGGATAGATAGATAGATAGATAGATAGATAGATCCTGCTGAACCTGCTGTATGATGGTTAGCTTGTTGGTAGGTTGACTAGTTTAACCAGTTAACCAGGCAGTTAGCTCCTCAGTGAATGAACTCACAGTTGCTCTTCAGCTTCATTGAGTTCATCCGTAGATATTGACGTGGTTCTGTTGGGTCGGCCCACTTGCGGCTGAGTGTCGGCATCACTCGTCTTGTTCCAATAGTAGAGGACAAACGTGAGCTGAGTGCTGCGGCCGGATGAGTTATATTTTAAACTGTGGACTAACTCCAGTTAGCAGCACTCTGGACACCTCTGGACAGAGCGCCTGTAGCGCCCCCTGGCAGCAGTTTAAATAAAGGGTCGACTCTTGTCTTATTTTGTGTGTTTAAGCACCAGGATGATTAGTTTCTCGAGGATGATTGGATCCAGGGGCTGGAGTGTCTATCATGTGCCCGTCCGGTCTCCAATCAAGATAATGCAATTTGGCTCTGAGACGTAAAGAGCTTGGTTATTCTGTCACTTGGCGAGGTCGCTGCTGTCCACTCGTGTCTCTGATGTTTCCTGGTTGATGTCAGTTGTTGTTGGATGTTGACTCACATCGAGTGTCTGGGCTGAGATGTGTTAACTCTGAGCAGTCGCTGAGGTTTTGTTGCAGCTTCATTGCTCTGTTTTCCTCTTTGGTTATATTTGTTTCTTTGTTTTAAACAGCATCTATGTCTGTGTCACTGTTTTAGTTCATCGCATTTAAAATAGGTGTGTTTCATGTTGGCGAGCTAAGTTAACTTTAAGTAAAGTTAAAGAACATCACAAAAGCCCCATTTTAGTTTCCTGTAAATCAATAAATAAACCTCTGTCCTAGAATGGAAGTTACTTATATTGGTGGATTTTCAATTGCTGCTAAGAATATTCAACTTTTACATAGTTTTGTTAACGTCTTGTTCAGACGACCTCGAGATTCCAGATGCTCAGTTCTTCACAAGAACATTTAGAACCGTAGTTAAATATGTGAATCTGACTCACTCAGTTCAACTCTTCAAATGAATCAGTTTAACTCAAAGACAACACAACATCAGTCACTGCACGTTTTAAATGAACCAGAGAAAATGAGGTTGAACTAATAATTCAGTTGTGAACCGAACACAGGTGAGTTTTGGGGTGTTGTGCGGAGGCATGTGTGGGGGTGTGGTCTATCTGCTGAGGGGGTCTCGTCCTACCTGAGTCGTTCAGTCGGGGTCCAGCAGTTTCACACAGAGCTGCACTGAAGAGGCTGTGAAGTCCTGCAGGGATCTGAGCTCTGAGGGAGGATTAGAAGAGAGAAACTGTGCTAACAGGATTACTAAGGACATGAAGGACAGACCGGGACAGACCGGGACAGACCAGGACAGACCAAGTGGGACCAGGACTAGGGCTCAAAACTTGATGACACAAGAGAGAGTCAGTGAGACGATGGAGAGACGATAACATTTTCTTTGGAAGCTTTGATTTTTGTGTTTTTTAGTTTTCGTTCATCAGTGACACATTAATCACACACAACACTGAGGTCGACCCCTTTTCAGGTTGATATGTTGAACCGCTGATTGTTTCCACTTCATCAGTCCAGTGTTTCCTCTCGATCAGCTTCTCTTCAGCTGCTGAATGCTCCACATGTTCACCAGCTGTTCTCTGTCTGAGCCTGCAGCTGTTTGTAAGTGGACGGAGGCTGTTTGCAGATGTTAACAGCTGTTTACTGGTTTACTGTTCTGTTGTGTTGTTGTACAGTGTTGTGTTGTGTTTGTGTGTTGTTGTTGTTGTGTTGTGCAGCTGTGAGCATATTGCTGCGGCTTCAGGTTAAAGCTGTTAACGTGGCCCTGATGAGGATTAACTGATAACAAGGTTAAATCCGGCGTCAGCGAAACAGAGGATTGAAACAAACTGAGCCAGAGGACCCATCACTGAGGAACCGTCACCGAGGAACCGTCACCGAGGAACCGTCACTGAGGAACCATCACCAAGGAACCGTCACCAAGGAATCGTCACTGAGGAACCATCAGTTCTTACTTTTCATGCCTCCTACCTTTCTTCCTTCTATGCGTCCTCTCTTTATATCCTCAATTTCCTTCCAACCTTTCCTTCCCTGCAGCGTCTTCACGAAAGACTTAAGATCTGAAATAATGAACTGGTCTGACTTCATTTTCTCTTCTCGTCTCAATAATGACTAAGACTATAATAATAATAATAATAATAATAATAATAATAATAATAATTAAAGCGTGAGCTCCTCAGGCTTCAGCAGGTAAAACAAGCCCACTCTGCCCCCTTGTGGAGAGGTTGTGAACAGCTGGATGATCAAACTTGTGTCAGCACTGACAGAGGAATGAAGATCTAAAGATGATGACAAATAATAAAAAGAAATGAAAGAAAGAAAGAAAGAAAGAAAGTGAAAGACAAAATGAAAGGAGACGCCTGGGACAGACTGATGTGGTCAAGATTTCCTCACGTTACTTTTTACAGTGCACGAATGTTTACAACACAAAAACAGTCTGTTTCCGTGGTAACCATATCCACAGCAATTACATGTGCTTCAGACCTGAACTCGACCTTTGAGACTGAACGATAACGTCGCTCTGAGTCGACAAAAGTCACAAATGATTTTATAGAAGATTGCTCATGAGTCTGAAATGTAATAGATTACAAAAATATAGAAACTAAATATTTACTCAAAAACACTTAAAACCGCCTTAGACATGATTTAATATCTTCCTCATAATCATCATGAATAAAACAACCGACAATGAAAGAAACCATCTTTGAGAAAAGTTTGTTTAATGTCTACTTTGACTTCTTAGTTTGATCCATGTCCCGTCGTCATAGCGACAGCTCTGACCTCTGCCTCTGCAAACGTTGCTGAGTCTCACTCTGTTTCTGAAACGCTGCCAAAAGTCATTTGAACAGAATCCAACATGTGGATCTCATCGTCAGAGCCCGACTTCCTGTTTTTCCCTGATCCACAAACTGAGCTGAGGTTTGTCTTGTGTGGACGGATCGAGTCCAGCAGATATCCACTGTCCCGCCTTCAGGTGTGATGTGTTCTGGTTTAATCACCGATGGTCATCGACCTTGGGAGCGATAAAGCGGGTGTGACGGGGCGGAGGGGGCGTTTATGGATCTGACAAAGTTCAGGAATTTAAAGTGATACGACCTCACCTACTCCCTCAGCCACAGCCTCTGGGGAGGTGCAGGTGAGTCACAGCAGGAAGTGACCTCACTGAGGGGGTTTGATTACGCTCAGTGAAAAATGGGGGTTCGATAGAGAAAAAGTTCACTGTGACTTTAAAGTCATAACATCCTCCGTATTTTCCGTGGAGGCGTGAGGACGCTTTACAGTACGGTTTTGCCATTCATCCATTCACAAGGACACTTGGGCAGATTGAGGGTGGGGTGGGCAGGGATCAGACTGCTGATCTTCTGGTTAGTGCACAACCCACTCTACCCCCTGAGCCACAGCCACAACACAAGAGCGTCACAAACTGGGGCCACTTCAACAGAGCACCTGTTCAACATCAGCACGTTATCGTCATTATTGGAATGTTTGATGGAGTTTGACGTGATTTCTTGGTGAACGTGGCAGAATGTTGCCTTTGATAAGATAATGAACATCAAAGTATGAGGCATCGACGGGGTTGCTATGGAAACCTGCAGATTATTATACTTGGTGTCTGAGGCTGAGAGGAGGTGAGGAAGTCCGAACCTCAGTGAGGAATTTATGTCCATGTGTTGTGCACTGAATCATCCAGGCAGCGAGATATGAGAGCGCGTGTGTGAGTGTGTGCGTGTGTGAGTGTGTGCGTGTGTGAGTGTGTGCGTGTGTGTGTTTGTGTGTGTGTGTGTGTGTGTGTGTGTGAGTCAGCTGGTATTTAAACACCACACCCTGTTCTGTCCTGATTCATAACGGAGCTGCTGCTGCTGCTGTTTCTCTGAAGGTAAGAACAAATGAAATCTAGATTCATTGTTACTGTGTGAGGGAACGAGTGGATGAATGGATGAGTGGACGAGTGGATGGATGGATGAATGAATGAATGAATGAATGAATGAATGTTCACTCTCTCAACTTTAACACTACACAAAGTATTAAGTATTATTTTTCTGTGGAGCTTTTACTGCAGAAAACATCTGTCGGACAAGTCATTAAGTGTCTGTGAAGAATCTATTAAAAGATGAAACGTCGCTCAGGAGACTCGTACGAACAGTTTGAGAAGTGATAACAAGCGGCTGGTCGCTGGGTGCGGCCGCCAAACTCTTCCCCTCGGACCCACTGTGTTCTCTGCCCGCCTGTAATTACCACAGTATCATGTTCATGTCATTAACTGAGGGAGGATCACACGGAGGCGTTGATGAGACGCTACAGAGTCAGAAGTTTATTTCTCCTTTTCTCTGGAGTTTTCACAAGCATCACATGTTTAAATCAGATCTGTGCAAAGAGGCTTTTATTTTGAAGCTGGAGCTGCAGGGCGATGATTCATTCAGTTTTGTTTGGCTGCTTGAAACTAAACACTCACATCCAAAGATTATGTTTCTGGAAAGAATGTCCACGAGAGGCTGAACGAGCTCTAAGTGAAGACAGGCTCAGCTGCAGCTCAATCAATCCTGCAGACAAACACAGGAAGACAACTTGAACAGTTTGCGAGCGCAGGTCACAGAGGTAGAAGAAGAGAACAAGACGAGAAGACATGAGAGGAACAACTGGACGACTCAGAGGAATAAAGTTTCCTTTAAATCTTCAGGTTCAGAGGTCAACACCTGGAGCATCATTTATTTATTTCCTCTCTCCACGTTTGTGAATGATGACACAGACGCCCACATCAGTCACATGACTCGACTACCAGCGGTGAACACAAAGCGTTGCTAACACTTCCTGTCAGTAACGGTTCCACTTCGTTGTCGCTCCAAGAAATGAAGTCTCTTACTTTTCACCATCACTGTTCCCCTTAAGCAACTAACTGCAGAGGAGACCATTTACTTCCTGTTTACACCACATGACCAGTGTACGTGAACGGTCACGTGACGTGTGTTTGAAACGTTACTAGCCCAGTAACTTTTTTAATGTTCCTCTGACCCTCTGCCGGGGCCCGGGCCCCATGTTGAGAACCAGTGGACTGAACTGCTTTGTGTATATAAAGCAGCAGAAGTTTAACAGTGGAACTCATGAAGTCACTTTATTCGTGGCGTTGCCTTTAAATCGGCCTCCAGGGCTCAGGACTGTTCGTACCAGTCGTTGCTAAGCGACAAACCCCCACTGACCCTCACTCACTTCCTGTTTTGGATGAAGACCAAGGGTTGACAGTTTACAGCTTTGATTCAGACAGTGTGTGTGTGTGTGTGTGTGTGTGTGTGTGTGTGTGTGTGTGTGTGTGTGTGTGTGTTACATAACAGGCTCCACATTTCTTCAGCTCTGTTTGCTCACCATCAACAGTCCTTATCTGCAGACACACCCTCTGTATGTCCTGGTCAATAAATCAAACACACCTCACTCCGTGTTTACGGCCTGCGGGATGTGAACTATTGTTTTAAAAAATCAAAGGAGGAGTTTAAAGGGACGGCGTCGCTGACCCTGGTTATAAAGTCGTCAGGTTTCCAGTCTGGCTGCCGCTCACGATAACTGACTCCACCCACAGGAAACAACAAACAGGAAGACATGAGCGTCAGGAAAAAAACAAACCCTGTCGGTTTAATGATGATTACTACACCCTATATAACGGACTCGTAGTATCCCACAATGCATTGGGAAAAGTAGAGTTCAACCAGTGGTCACTCAAGAGTGTGTAACTTGTACTGCAGCCAGCCACCAGGGGGTGTTCCAGATGTTTTGGCTTCATTTTTAGGAGTTGTCCATCTTTATCTTCCGACGTCACAGCAGTGAACCCGACTGAACGTTACGTCACTTCAGTCGTGGTTGTACGTGTTTCCTCCTCTGGTGATGTCACAGCGACGCTCTGTGTCTCCGCAGGTGAACTCATCATGGCGCTGGTGTCGGAGTTTCTGGGCCAACTGACGCTGTCATACGGCGGGGTGAGTCTCCTGCATATCACCCCTGCACTCCTCACCCACCCACCTGCACTCAGTCACTTCGTTTAGTTGCCTGCACTCGAGTGGTACTTTCATGTGATGCGACTCAAAGGCTCCAGACGCCTGCAGAACCGAATGTGCCAAATTTAACCCAACTAGATCCGTCAGGTTCTCCATCCGCTTATCAACACCCGGAGGGAGTTGCCTCCCGGACTGTGAGCGAACATGTGTCTCTGTCCTCTGCAGGAAGAGGAGCCCACATTTCCCACTGTGGTGCCGGTACAAGACTTTGACCCGGCCAAAGACGCCGCCAGGATCGAGACAGCCATCAAAACTAAAGGTGAGTGAGTCCAGCGACACACCAACACGACTCTGAGGCTCGTTGATCTGTCCATCACTGAGGACAGAGTCAGACAGTGTCCTGCTCAGAGTTTAAATAAAGTTTTACACTGCGGAGATGAACATGAGGCTTCAACCTACACAACAGAAAGAGCTCAGTCAGATTTTAACAATCTTTCCTCTAGCGCCACCCACTGGACAAACTCTACATTTTTTTAGCTCGATCACTGTTTTAATTTTTGAGAACAGATAACTCATCACGATGTTGTTGTTGCTGTAATGAACTCTGCGGCCTCCAGGGGACGATACAACAACATTTATCTTGCGTTTATGTGAACTTGACACCAAAATCATCGTTTCCTGTTAAAGGTTTTTATTAAATCCACAAACTGTCGAGAAATCGATGAGTCATTTCAAAAAGTGCAAATATGAGGGTCCATCAGGGACGACTTGTCCTCTAGGGGGCTCCAAACATTGTCCTGACTGCGTTGTACTTTTCTAACGTGGTCTGACGTGAACTGCCTCCTCCGACTGTTACTGCACAATCCTGTGACGCTGGAGTGAAAACGAGAAATGAAATCTGTGCCCTGCAGGCGTCGATGAACAGACGATCATCGATATCCTGACCAGACGAAGCTCCAGCCAGCGCAAAGAGATCGCCTTCGAATATGAACGACTCGCCAAGAAGGTTAAAGATGATTGAAGATCTACTCCTAAGGTTCAGTTCATCATTTAGTCCTTTGATAAGACAGGCTTTTAAAAATACTGTACATGTTCAGGATCTGTCCACAGCCCTGAAGGGGGCGCTGTCTGGCCCTCTGGAGGCTGTGATGCTGGGTCTAATGAAGAACACAGTTGAGTACGACGCCTCCGAGCTCAAAGCTTCCATGAAGGTGTGTATGTGGGGACTGCAGGGGGCGCTCTACAGTCGCACTGATTTAAAGTTACAATCTTTTCAGTGACGTGTAAATGCAGTGTGATATGTGGAGTCTGACCTGTAGGGGGCGTTTGTGTGCAGGGGCTGGGAACAGACGAGGAGACGCTCATCGAGATCGTCTGCTCCCGGAGCAACGAAGAGATGCTGGACATAAAGAAGGTTTACAAAGAGAGTAAGCTGTGAAGTTAACATGCCCCCTAGTGGATTTCTGCAGTATAAGTCATAAACTGCGCCTCCTCCATGTTAGCAGAAGTAGAAGTTCTTATGACACTGATGTTTGTTCAAGTTTCTGAACAAATAAAAAAGAGCCCATTCATGTTCGCAGTGGCTTCTTAAGTTCCATAGTTACGTCTCACTGCCGGGCGACCTCTGGTGGAGGAAGTAATTATGACGATCTCTGCTTATTTGTTTCAATTACAGTTTGTTCAGTTTCCTTCGTGTTCGTCAGTTTTTTTTATTTTCATGTTTCTCTCTTCAGTGTTTAAGAAGGAGCTGGAAAAAGACGTCGCAGGAGACACGTCAGGAAACTTCGCTAAACTGCTGCTGGCTCTGGTTCAGGTAGATCCAATCAAGATTTAATGTTGGACATTTAAATTTTTAATTGTTACCTAATTTTCAGAAATTTAAATATAAATAAAACACCTGCTGCTGTTACAGAATAGTTCCAATGTTATATTTTGGATTTTACAGACAAAGAGAGATGAGCCTTCGAACGTTGTCGACTATGAGAAGATTGATGATGACGCCAGAGTGAGTCAAGTTTTTACATTTAAATTATGAATATGATTGTGCTGATTCCCTCAGCGACTGTTTAACGAGGAATTTAACAATCGATGAAGTGTCCCACAAACCTCTGTCCCCTTCTGTCCCATCTTCTGTCCTGTGTGTGAACCTCTCAGTCTCTGTATGAAGCTGGAGTGAAGAGGAAGGGCACCGACGTGACGACCTGGATCGCCATCATGGCTCAGAGGAGCGTCCCCCATCTGCGGAAAGGTGAACTAGTGAAAGTATTTTTTTTTTTTTACATTCGGTACTGATTTTTATAATTAATGTAGATATTTTTTGCATTAAATTAAATTAAATTTGTATTTTTAATTCAATGGAAAAATTTTATTTTTCATTTAATACCTTTTTTTCATCCAATGAAAATTGTTTTTATCTTTGAATTAAAAATGTTATTTCATTATTGTATTTTTTAAATTTAATGTCACATGTTCAATACAGATCTATTCTTTTTTAGATTTACCTACATTCATCCTCTGTTTATTCAAATATCGAGACAGTGAGCAGGTCCAGAAATGATCCGCTGCAGAGAAACAGCAGCTTCTTCTCTGACTCGTTGTGTTTCTGTCCGTCAGTGTTTGACAGATATAAGAGCTACAGCCCCTACGACATGAAGGAGAGCATCAGGAAGGAGGTGAAGGGAGATCTGGAGAAGTCCTTCCTCACTCTGGGTACGTCCATCAAACTTCATCACCACCAGAACTTTTTAGCACTCATCCATCTGTAAATAATTAGAGACATATTTTAAATTCATATTCACAGTGTAATTTTCTGATCTTTGAAATTGTTTAAGTTAATCCGAGTCTGAAGTTTAAAGATAAATCAGTGAACCGGGTTTTCAGAGCATGAATTCACAATTCAGCAAATCACAGGAAGTTTGAAACGTCTTTTCTTGCAGTGGGACGTATTATAACCACCTCAAGTTTTATATTCCAGTAAAATAAACAACAGCAGCGTTAAAGTTTCACGAGCTGAGAGCCACAGACATTGTAGTGGATATAATAAGACAGGGGTGTAATGGTCCTTTAAGACGACAGGGTTGTGTGTGTCTCTTCACAGTGGAGTGCTTTGAAAACAGGCAGCTGTACTTCGCCAACAGACTCAGTGAAGCCATGAAGGTAAAGTTCAGAAAACAGATGAGACGTGAGCTCAGAAGATGAGACAGGCTGACCCCCCCCCCCCCCCCCCCCCTCCTCCTCCCTGCAGAGTAAAGGAGCCAAGGAGAAGGTGGTGACCAGGATCCTAGTTTCACGCTGCGAGGTCGACCTGATGAAGATCAGAACACAATTCAAGAGGGAGCACAAACGATCCCTGTACCAGACCATCGCTGTGAGTATCTGTGTGTGTGTGAGAGTGTATCTGTGTCATTTTAACAGTATTATTATCAATATTATTGGAATTTGTAGATTCATTGATCTGCAACGCAAATAATTTGTCTATTTCAGTGAGAATTTAAATATAAAATAAAATTAATTGAATGACTGAATCAGACAGTTTGACCAGAAAGAAAAAAACATCAGTATTTCATTGTCTTAAATCCATTATGGATAAAATGTATCAATAAATCAAATAACTAAAATTCTCTAATTGGAGTTTTTTAGCTACTAAAAAAGTTGAGTGATGAAAATTAACTAAGCGTATTTCCTCAAGTGCTGGTCGGGTGTATTCAGTGGTAAATAATATATATATATATATATAATATAAGCCATAATACAAACCTGTAATACTTTAACTACATGAACTTCTCTGTGTGATTCAGGAACACACTAAAGGAGATTACCAGAAGGCTCTGCTCAGTCTGTGCGGAGGAGACGACTGAGACCTGGGCTCTGTCAGGACTCCGCTTCCCAGAAGGCCTGTGGGTTTGAGCGGTTAGCTGACTGGAGACCTGCTCACAGCCCTTTGTCATTTTCATCTGAAACATCTTGTGGAATAAAGAAAAACTTTTCACCTGTTTGTGTTTGCCTGCGGTCTTAATGGAGTGACCACCAGGGGGCAGCAGAGACACACAGAGACATTCTGCTGAGCTGTACCTGCTCTGTACATGTTCATGGGTTACACACGTGTACATATACACACGTGTACATGTATGTACAAGGTCAATGTGAGTCTTTACTACAATCTGTGACGCTTTTTATTTGTATTATACATTCATACAAATATTTTTCTCAATACAAATACTACACCAGATGAAGAGCGAGGGCAGCAAATACTCCAACAGCAAAAAAAAAAAGGGATAAAAGAATTAACAATTAAAACCTGGATTACAGAAAAAATACTGAAGAAAGAAAACTTCAAGATTTTCTCTGCTCGAATATCGAAGCCAAAAAAACAGTAAACAAACAATATCTTTAATTGTGTTAATTGTGTGATTTGTAACTTTTTCTGACAAATGAATAAAAAACAAAAACACTGAAACTTCTCGTAAACATGTCGACGTAGAGAGAATTATTTAAAAGACACATGAATCATAAATATATGATAAATACAAATTAGGATCAAATGATGAATGTGAATCTTTGACTTGACACCAGACATAAGATCAAAACATCACGACGCTCCTGAAACTAAACTGAGTCTGAATCTCTGAAACAGAAGCTGTGACACATTTTAACTTTCATGTTGGTTCAGAGTCTAAAAATCTGAAAATCAACTTTAACCTCCGAGTCTCTCTCTCACACACACACACACAGACACACACACACACACACACACACACACAGGAAGAAACTTCTTCTCACTTTGTCTCAGTTTGTTTTTGTTGAAACGAAAAAGTCAAAATGATGAAACAGTTAGATTCTTCTGAGCGTCTCGTCTCTCCTGAGGATGAACCAGTGTTTGTTGGATCAAAGTCGGTATTTGATGTGAAAATATTGGTTATTAATGACGCCCCAGCAGACGCACATGGCTGATGTGTGTTTGTGTAATCTCACATTAATTCATGTTTGATCATTAAATCAGATGAAAAGATTCCGCTGCTGCTGCTTCAGGTTGTTTTTCCTTTAATCGTTCGTAGGTTTTTGTTTTGTTTGTTTGCTGCTAATTTTTTAATTAAAGTTGCTGATTTTACCTCCAGCATCAGTCGCAGCTCATTTACATTTTCTCTGTTGCAGAAGAAAAACAGCTGAGAGGAGGAAGAGGAGGAGGGGGAGTTACAATCAATATCTTTGTATTAATCAATAACGTATAAAATTCATCTGTAACAGTGGGTCAACATTTTTGTTTGAGGAAAAGACGTCCGATTGGTCGATATTCTCTCAAAACACCTCATCAACATCCTCACAGTATTAGCCCCGCCCCCTCACAGGCACCGTTTGTAGTATTATAGAAATAAAATATTATTTAGAGAAAAGTTACCAAACGTGTGCATTGTCACATCCCGACTAATCAGCAGGAAGTAACATCTGACTCTGACACACAACCACACTGTTTCATCGCCGAGGGGAAACTTCAGATTTACTGTCACTTGGTCGTAACGTTGACGACAACATGAGCCTCCTGAGCTGCTTCCTGTTCATCACCAATAACAGAGTCAACATGGCGCAAAGACAGCAGAGGTGTTTTGTGGAAGAGAAGAGGGAGATTTACGACTGCACAGTTAAAGCTGACGATCATGTAGAGGAGAGGGGCAAAGCATGCTGGGATGGCACCAGGGAACCGCCTGGGAGAATCAAATCAAATCATCAAATCAGATCTTATTTGTACAGCCCAAATTCACAAACACATGTTGCCTCAGAGGGCTTTACAATCTGTACAGGAAGTGACACGCTCTGTCCTTAGAGCCTCGGTTCCAGACGAAGGGCTTTCATTATGTCCATGTGAGGTTGTTGAGTAAATGATCCGATGGTTCAACAGCTAAAAGTAAACATGGTAACAGAGACTTTGTTGGTCATCATCTAACGAGTGAACCATCACGTCACCTGTTAAAAATGTCAAAATAAAACGGAAGCGGATAACGTGAATAATGTACATTTTGTGAAGTTACTATCCTGATGTTTTATACCACATATAGAGTTTTATATAAACATGTGTATTTTATATCTGTCACCACACACTGTAATGCTGCGTTCCATTACACCTCAGAATGACAGACCTCGGAAGTTGCAACTGGCACGCCCCCTCAAGTTGGAATTTTGACTCAGAAAGTGGGAGGAGCCTCACCACCCCCAACTTTAAAATCCATGCAGCAGCAGTAATGAAAGCTGAAGTTTTAACTGTTTATTAACACAACTTTGATTAAATGTGTCGTACAGCTAGCGTCCAGTTACTGTCTGTGGACGGGGTGGGTATGCATGAAATGCCACGTAATGCGTCATCATGAACTGGTTTTGCAAATAATGGCTAGCTGGCTAACGTACACATTGTTCCTATCAACTCAGGTTTTTCAGGTGTGACATCATTCCGAGTTCTGAGCTGCAATGGAACACGGCATAAATCTCTGTTTTCATTTTTTGTTAAAAGCAAATACAAAGAACTGAAATATCAATTTAGAGCTAAGTTTTACTTGGTCACTTTATCTACAGACAATCAGTGACTGTAAATAAAGACGGACGACACGTCTCCACTTCCTCCCACTCTGCAAAATGAAGCCAAAACATCTCCGATACGAACGCTGCCATCTTGTGGTGATGACGTCATTTGTAGTCAGAGTTTGTGCAGGAGTGATCAGAGGTCTTGATCCAATTTATGGCCAATGTCTCTGAGTAATTCCGAAAGATGAATAATTGAATGTGCCTCGCTAATTATCAAGCTTTCCATTTCATTCACAGTATCAAAAAACATCTTCATGCTTTTTGTCCCCACGTTCCAAAACATCTGATCGTAGTTTGCGTTTTCGTCGTCTTCACTCGTGCTCGCTGCTGCAGACGATTTGTTGTTTGCAAACAATGCTGAATTATTGAACTTGAAGTGAAGTGGCAGTCCGTCTTCTGCTTTCGGACACGGGACACCTGCAGCACTGATTGCCTCGAGAACTGGTGGACGCCTGCCATCTGCGAATGTCACGAGAACCCTGACATTTTCTGCCACGTTGTTTTTGATGCATGAGAGAAATCGTTTCAAAAAATATTTCTGCCTTTGTGTGAGTTGTGTTAAAGCAGCCGGAGCTACGATACACACTGCGTTGATTTCTTTGACACCTTGCTCAGCAGTGGAGAGATTGTACAGATACTTCTGTGGTCGGCCTTCGACTGCAATGTCAACAATGGTCAGTGAGTAGTCGATTTTAAAACCGTCCTGGTGGTTGATTTTGTACTCGACCACTTCCGAGGTCTGACCTTTCACTTGACAACTTAACTGAGCCTCGTCAATTAACTTGAATCGGAAATTGTCCTTCCACTCTACACCCACAATGTAGTTGATCATTCCATTGATCAGAGTGGACGTTTCTGATCCCGGTACTTCTAAAAGAATTATGCTGCGGTTTCTCCTCAGGCCTTCTTTGCCAAAGTTAAACCTTCGGCATTCTCCTATGTTCACGTCGACTTCTGTCAGGGGCAGTTTGTAAATGTATGGGGATTCAGAATTAATCCTTTCACTTGTACGTTTGAGTGATTCAGTGAGAAGGGAGAGTTTTGTTGTGTGGACATTAACAGCAATGCTTTCCTTGCTCCTGCCAGCGACACCATAGTCGCATCTGACCCTGACAACATACTCTGTCTCTGACTTGAGCCCTGAAATGATCGCCCTTTCAGCTCTTGACATTGTTTGGCTCCACTGCAGATCTTCACTTTTCACCCCATTGTCTGTTTGGGCGTACTCTATGATGTAGCTCAGCTGCTGGACATCTCGTCCAACCTCAGCAGGTCTCTGCCAGCTAACAGATATTTCACTTGAGTTTGATTCCACTTGGGGTTTTCCAGGAGGGCTGCAGGGCAGAGTTTTAATGGTTCCACTGACCTCATGGACTGGTCCGACTCCTACTGAGGTGACAGCTCTGCATCTGAACACATACTCTGTGTTAGGATTCAGGTCGCTCACTTTGACCTCCTCAGCCTTTAACACCATCTTCTGTTGCCATCCATCCTCTCCACGGACACAGTACTCAACAGAGTAGGAGGTGACGTCCTCCGCTCCACATTTGGGAGGAGAAATATGCAGTGTCACTGTGTTGTGGCTTATGTTGCTTACTGTCACAGTTTCAGGTTTTGAAGGTGGTTGAAAGCTGTCGTTAACACAGGAGCCGTCTTTATAAAGGTAGATGCTGGAACCTTTTAATGTCTCATTTGTCAAACCCATTGACAGGAACTTAATGTTCTTGTTCTCCTTGTTGGACTCTGCAAAATCACTGAAGAGCTTTGCTTGTTTCCTCATTGTGTCAGATACTTCACTTGAAAGATACCATTGCTCCTTCTCTACATCGTAAGCTTGTGGATCTTGAGGGTCGTCTGGTTTGGTTGTTATTTTTGCATAGTTTGATAAAGCTAAGAGGTACGGTTCAGCATTTCCTAGTGAGGTAAAGACAAAACACACAGCGTGCTCTGCACTGAGAGTTTCCTCGTGAAGACCATTCTGAGATGGGACAATCTTTGTGTTTTTCATCATGTTGGTGACAGATTTTAAAACGCATATTTCTCTCTCTTTACAGTCCAACCACTCAGTCAGGTGTTCACTGTTGAAAGGAGACGAATGTCTCTTCATCAGGATTTCTGTGAGTGAAGCCTCCTCTTCACCTCCTTCTCGGATTGCAGGAAGTTTCCCTTTCAAGTTCAGTTGAAATTCAAGCTTGAACTCGGAGCATTTTTCTTTGAAGAGTTTCAGTTTTTTGCAGATCTGCGGGAACTGCTGTGCAGTCGTTGTTCTCATTGCGTCGTTGCATCTGATGTCCAGCTCACTCATGTCCTCCAGGACTCTTTGAGCCTCCTGAACTAATCTTATATGTATCTGACAAACAAGTTGAGCAGCAGAAGAATCTAAAATTGTCAGTGGCAACAACCAGACCTTCACTGGCACCGCATTTTCTCCACTGAGTCCCAGCAACTTCGGCAGGCTTTGATAAACCTGTATGGCATCCTGAAAGGATGATGGGGGTTTAGGAAGAGAGAAGTCTCCATAGAATCTGCAGGAGAATTTCTCAACCATTTCCTTGTTTTCCATTTTCAGGGTAGCTTCACCCTCAATAGCAAGACCAGGGATCATCTTGATCATTGCTTTCAATTTGCCCCGAATGTCTTGGTGATCTTCTTTTTCTGACACCTCACGGTCAAAGACAAAGAAGGCGTGTGCCCCATAAAGAATAGCCGTGACTACATGTGTTGCTATTCTCTTATCAAACACATACGGATGCTTCATGTTGCCTCGTCCGAGATGATTCATTGACAGTTCCTGGAACTTTGTGGTAGCCTTGTACTGCAGTGTGACCCTGGCCAGATTTCTGGAAGCCTTCTTGTCTTTCAGGTACTTGGCAGAACCGTCAACCTCAACCAGCCCACTCAAGAAACTGGCCTTCAGGGATGCTTCAACATTTAGAGCTGAAGATTTGTCCTCAATCGTTTCTGATGCAACTATTTCAAAATCGCTATAGTTCTGTGGCTTTTCTCGTATGTGATTTTTCAGGTCATCGTGGTCCCACAGTGTCATTCCTGAAAAAGAAGGAAGAAGAGATTTCAAGATCAACCCGACGGTGAAAGTTACAGTTGATAAAGATGAAAATGGTTTTGAGAGCACTGATGTGCTGTGGAACCTGATAAGTACTAATGGTGGTACAAAGTACAGATGCTACAGTGCGGAAATTTAACCACCGGATAATGTGTTAATGATGTTAACGGTTCTCTTTGTCTCTGTACGGTTTGTTTTTTAAAGTTCCTTTCTGATGCTTTAAGAAAATGTTCCTCCTCTTCTCTAATGATTTCACCTTGTCGGATATTTTACTGTATTTTAATGTCGGTACCAACTGTTGGTACCTGATGTAAAGTAAACTGCCTCAACATGTGTGAGAGAGAGAGAGATGGTCAAGAGAGCTAGAGAATGAATCAGAGAAATAAAAACAAAGCTACTGGAGTTTGTTTGAATGCAGCCGTGTGTGTGTGTGTGTTTGTGTGTGTGTGTGTGTAGTCCAGGTATTACTCATGTTGTGGGGACCTCAACCTTTTTTACACAGTCACGTTATGAAGACAAAAATCAAGTCCTCATAACGTAAATCATTAAATTCTAAGGAGAAGACATGTTTTAAGGTTAAGTGTAGGTGTAGTTTAGGTTCAGGTTAGGGTAAAGTAAATCTTAGGTTTAGCTTAAGGTTAGGTTTAATGTAATGTCCTCTAAAGTCATGCAGACACTGTGTGTGTGTTTGTGTGTCAAGCCCTGCCCTTCGTCATACAGACCTGCAGCTCTTAACATGTCAGTGACTCAGAGATCGGGTCTGCTACGTTTGGTGTTGAGTCATTGGCTGAGACTACACACTCACAGGTCAAAGGTCGAAGCACGGAAACGTCCCAACACAGCGAAACAAGAAGACAAATACACCAAACACACACTTTAAATACTGAATATTTGGCTCTGATGCAAACACGAGTCCTCACCAGGTACGAGTAAGTCTCTGCGGCAGTCGTAAAACATCCCGAGGCAGAAAGGTCGACCGAGCGCCGCCACCTCCATCGTCCCTCCACAGTCCATCGCTCAGTCTTTGGATGTGGACAGTTTCAGTGAGTTCAGGCTCAGAACTGAAGTCCCCAAACTTTGATCAGGAGTGAAAATGAAAAGTTTAAAGTTGGCATTAAGCTGAGCCGAGTGCATACAGAGGAAAGGCGTGGCCTCTGAGCTGCTGCACCCTGTCTAAAGGACAAACTCCACGTGACTGAGCGAAGGAAGGAGGTGCAGACGAGCGTCAGGCTGTTTTCAGAGAGAAGGTGTGACCTGTAAGACGACACTGAGGACCAGAGTCCGACCTGCAGCTGTGAGATAACACGCTGATGTTCACAAACTAAAGTTTGTTCTACGCAGTAACTTTCACTTTCAAACTTTATTGACACTTGAAAATATACGTCTGCTAATTTATAGAGAATTATAGAAAGGATGCGTTTTTATGTCCGTGAGCTGGTGACACCTAGTGGCCAGAGGTATTATGTTCAGCCTTTGGTTTATATTGCATGCTGACTTATTATTACCTCATTCTTATTGTTCTCTTGCTGCTGTCACAGAAGATTTTCCCACAGTGGGATTTACACAGGATTATTTTATTTTATCTATTCTTATAAACAAGATATCTCAAGTACGTCTTGAAGGAATTTCCTCACATTTGATTCGAATGTTCCGATTTCAATTTTGTAGTCAAAGGTCATGGTGACCTCTAGAAGCCATTTGTGAACATGATGATTAAGAAAACCATGAGAGAATCTTTTCAAATTTGGTACAAAATTTCACTTAGAATCACAGATTAAATAATTTTTGCTTTGTTGGTTCTGCGTCTTCTTTCTACGATTCCTCCTCCCGGGTCACATGGTCAAAACAAATGTTTTATCGTAGCTGTGAGATTAGACGGAGAGAAAAGGATGATGAAGTCAGCAGCTCTTCTTCTTCTGTTGATCTTCCGACCTGTGCGAGTGTTATTTGTTTAAAACTGAGCTAATCTTCAACTGTCACGCTCCCATAATCCCATCGCCAGGCAACCCCCCCCCCCCCACACACACACAGACACACACGGCCCTCAGATGAAGCAGAAATCACCACGACAGCCACTTCACCATGAACCAAATGTCAGCCTCTCCTGCGTTGCCGAGCTGCACACGCACAAAGATAATTACTGCCGCCGCCGCCGCCGCCATCCGTCCTCTGACCGTTGCCTTTGGGACAAAAAACCCCACATGAGAAGAAACAGGATGTGTGAAACAGCAGCAGAGAGACCTGAGTTTAAAATCATCTTCTGAGCCTCACGTGAAAAAAATGTATTTACCGACGATGGGCGACCTTTGACCTTTTCGATTTTTGTGCTGTCGTGTGTGATCACGCCGCTGGTTAATTAACCCCCGAGACGTTCTGAGTTCACACGTGAACAAAGACTCATGATGAAGTCAAGTCCAGGTTCAGACGGAGGTCGTGGTTTTGAACCATAGACAACGAATAATGATGGAGGAGAAAATCACCTGGAACTCCCCCATGTGGCTGGCTGCAGTATCGTGGTAAACCCCACCTCCTCCATGTTAGCAGATAGGATGTGGGCTAAACTAATAAATACAAGATCTGTCTTCTGTTTGTTGTTCCAGTAAATCATCAGAGATCATTGCTAAGACTGAAACATTACCCAGCAGCCCCCTCTGGAGAACCACCCCCCCTCCTGCCCCCTGGGCTCCTCGCGCTCTCCGTCCGCCCTCAGGTTCAGTTTTAATGACGACGAACAGAAACGATGCAGAGCAGGTCGCTGGGTCTCAGCGGAGTGAGAGGACCAAAGGTCTCGTCTCTGCCAGGGAATCAGACTCTTCTCTTCTGTCTCTTGTCACTGGTTTGGACGACGTCACAGAGCGGCAGCGACGGATCCTTCTGTCACCGTCAGCTGTGCCCAAACAGATGCACAATCAGTGATTTTATTTGATTTGAGCCGTGAACTTGAGAGCAGATTCACTAATCCCGAAATATCAGGACTCTTCACAGAACAGATGAAGATCTCGTCTCACGGCTGCTGATTTTCAGGGCGAAGCATTTCCTCTAAAACCCAGAAGATAAGACGACGACAACAAATCGTTCATGTTTAATTCACCACAACAGATTTCACTGAGACCATTTAGTGGCTTTTCAGCTCAAATCACGGCTTCAAGTCATGAATTCTGATGAGAACAGCCGGCCGCCCCCCCCGATCTGTAAAATGAACAATTATGAAGCGAGACGCTAATTAAGCTCAGAGATCAAGCGTCTTTCTCTCTTCACCCTAAAGGGGGTTTCTTTATCGGGCCTTTGATCAAAGCGGCGCCCGAGGATCGAGCCCCGTGACGACACGTTTCCCCTGGCTACAGGCCCCCCCCCCCCCCCCCCACACACACAGTTTTTCAGGAAACTAAAAATTGACTCAGGCAGATTTCACAACAAACAGGATCCATATTGAATCATCATTACACACATGAAGAAAAAGTGTTTGAGTCAAAACAAAGACGAACGTTTCTCTGGTTCTGTGACTCCGTCTCTGCAAAGACAAATGCAAATGAAGCCGGGATATGGAACTTTAAAATTTTTATTTATGCCCGCCTACTGAGTTGCACATGTTTAATCTCCCCATTTCTTCTCCTCCTTCTTCTTCTTCTTCTTCTCCTGCTCCTGAATATGCAAAGTGTATCAGGCCTGCATCCTGACTTTCATGTGAGGCCTCGGCTTCTTGACTGAGACTGTGACAGACGCTGAAAGAGATTGAGGAGTCAGGTAGAAGCAGAGTTCGCCCGCAGGCTTGAATCAGCGCCGTGACACGCGCCGTCTGCTAATTCACCCTGACGTGCTCCTGATGCCAGCCCTTCATTAGAAATATTTTTAAAGGGGCTCCGACCTCCTGCGCGCCCCGTCCGGGACCCGAGCGCTGTGTGTGCGGGCCTTTGATTCCTGCTCCTCCGTGGGTTTCAGGCTCGTCATAATGACAGCGCCGCCTGACAGCTCCTCGTCACGCACCTCTTGTCGTCTTTTGTGGGAAGTTTTGCAACAATTAGCATAAATATTTCATCTCCTTCCGCCCTGCGTCGCCCCTGCTGGTGCAGCTGAAACAGGATCCGGCTGATCGCGTCCCAGAGATGTCACTGAGTGATGCCGGAAAATGACAAACCTTTGTAAAGTGTACTTTTCTCCCCATGAAGGTGAAAAGATGAAGCAGGAGAAGCAAACAGCCAAACATATGTCGCCTTTGTGGAATCTTTTATTGAACATATTTGGGAGCAAAGCGAGCAGAGTTTGATTACGAGGCCAAAAGCCTACGTGACGACGTGCGGCAAATCTCCCTCGATGCATTTACGAGATATACTTGTACACATGATTTATTTCACACCAACTTATTTACATTCTAGAGTGAAAGCAATCTGCTGGAAGTTTACTGAAGGAGTCGTCGCTCCCGCCGAGCGGCGTGCACGACTGCTGACGAGTAGCAGAAAGTCAAGAAACTTTCAGGTGAGTGGAGCGGAAGAGCTCACTGAGCAGCAAACTTTCATTCCAGGCACATCTCACTCTGCAGATAATGAAGGAGCCGTAACATTATAAGGGCACATAACGCTGTGCCAATTAATCTGAGTCTGCGTGCGCCTGCAGCCATCCAGCAGCAAAATTAAATATATACTTGCATCTGATTTCAAAGGAGTTGTAAACCCTCCCTGGCTCCAGCGCCCACTGTGGAAGACTTTACTTAAGCTTGAGGAAGAGCATCATTAAAATTAAAGCGAACGAAGGGAAGCGGAGAATCTCGCCACGCCCGCCTTCGGCTACTGCTCAGCACTTCAAAACAAACTACACGGGCACACTGACTCCAGCGCTCCAGTCAAGCGCTCGTCGTTCACCATCTGATGTTGTTTGCAGGCGCAGAGCTCATCAGCCAAAGAACATGTATGTACGCAGATTAAAAAAAGGACGTAGGCTGGAAACGAATAAAGACTCTGGTCCTCTAGTGTGACGAGACACCGAGTCTTCAGTAATTATTCAATCCGACCTTCAGAGTGTTAAAGGCCCCACTGAACTACCAGGTTTAAGTTTCAGCTGGCGTCTAAACTCCGCTGTGGAAAGATCAGTGTTGTTGTTTACAGCTCTTCC